ACAAAGATGTTCATATGTTTTTGTAAAGAGTAATAATTTCAAATTTCAAAAATGCAAATTACAGCTTAACGATCTCTCAAAGTGAAATGGAAATACAGCAAGTAAAATACATTAAAATAAAACTAAACTGAAGAGTTTTTGCTGTTAAGTAGATTCCAATTCATGGTGACCTAACAAGTATTTCCTCTATTCAAAATTGGATTTGATTTATTCAATACATATTTGAGGGTTAACTGTGGAAAAAGTGGGAAAAGAAAACATTTTGATATCAACAAAACTTGGATTTAAATCCTGGCTTTCTATCAGGACCCTTTATGACACTGAACAAAAGAGCATCAAACAGTTCCTGAAGAAATTCTATGATCTTTTAATACCATTTCCATGAATATTTTTTGAAGCTCCATCATATTAAAAATCATCTCTGAGCTATTGCTATACCTGTAAGTTGTGAATATATATACCTCAAGCAATTTTTAAGGGGAGTGAAAATTAAATAAAATGTATTTGCTTTATCTGAAAGCTGTTACATTTAATTTCACACTTAAAAAAAATTTTGTTTAATTATTATTGCAGTGATATAATTCTCTACATAAAAAAAGTGTTATATTTTAGTCACATTATAAGTTAAATGGGCATTTCTTAGTTTAGGAATTTTTTGGCTACTCTGGTAGCATAGTGGTTATGAATCAGGCTGTTAATCTCATAGTAGGAAGTTTGAAACTACCAGATGGCCGTGGGAAAAAGATGAGGCTTTCTGCTCCCGTAAAGATTTGCAGCCTCAGAAACCCTGTGCAGGGTCACTATGAGTCGGAACGGATTCCACGGCACACCATCACCTGGGGAAAAAATTACTGCTGTTAAGTGTCGAGTGCCAAGTTGGTTATGAATCATGGTGACCATGTACAGGATTTCCAAGGAGCAGCTGGTGGGTATGAACTGCCAACCTTACAGCTGAAACAGGCTACTGTTTATTCTACAGAACCATACTAGGATTCTGGGAAAAACATTGAAAAACCTTAAAAAATTAATCTCAGAATAAAACTACCTTTTAAACCATGGACTAGTTGTATAGAACACTAGACAGATAATAATATCCTAGTCCATAATTGGAATTCCAAAGTATTTGCTAAAATAAACTTTAATCAGTCTTTAACAACTGTTTGTTTTATATATATATATATATGGAGCCCTGGTAGCGTAGTAGTTACGAATCTGGCTGCGAACCACAAGGTCAGCAGTTCGAAACTACCAGCTGTTCCGCAGGAGAAAGATGAGGCGTTCTGCTCCAGTAAAGATTTACAGTCTCAGAAACCCTGTACAGGGTTGCTATGAGTCGGAACCGACTCCACGGCACATTACAACAACAACAACAATAAATGTATAAAAATCCACTGCCACTGAGTCAATTCCAAGTCATAGCAATGTCACATATCAGAGAAGAATAACTCCACAGGGTTTCTAAGGCTGGTGGTATGGGTGGTAAACACTCAGCTGCTTACATAAAGGTTGACAGTTTAAAATCACCAGCCACTCCATGAGAGAAAGATGTGAAATCTGCTTCTATAAAGATTTAGAGCTTTGGAAACTCTATGGGGCAGTTCTACTCTACCTTACAGAGTTGCTAAGAGTAGGAGTTATTAGACGTCAAAGGGCTTTTAAGGCTTAATCTTTACAAAAGCAGCTTGCCACATCTTTCTTCCATGGAGTGGCTGATGGCTTCAAACCATAGACCTTTCAGTTAGTAGCCTATCCACTCTGCCACTACCAGGTCTCCTCAAATAAGTTGTAAGATTCAGATATTAACCCTTTCACTGCTGTATCATATCTAGTTCTCATCTTTACATCTACGATGAGGCTTTCCGCTCCATCAGATTCATAGCCTCGGAACCCAATGCAGGATCACCATGAGTCAAAATCAACTTGATGGCACTTAAGAAAGAAATCCAGAAAGAAAAATGAACAAGAGAAAAAAAAACAATGCACCTGTTGTTTTGTTTCTTTTATCTCATCATGGAATGGTGTTGTGCACTGTTTAAGCAATGCCTCCAGATCATCATGATGATCCATCCTACTTTTGCAGTGATTTTACAAAGCATCAATCCAACAAAACCTACTGTCAATATGGGGAGTATAGAGAAATCATTACTTCTGCGCTTTTCCCCGCCTGCCCCACACACAATATTGAACGTATTGATGAGTGGAGATTGAAGGTAATTGGTTTGGTTTTGGATGATATATGAACAAAGGACAAGAAATTGAGAAGATATCTGGGGAGGAAAGAGTTATGTTACGTGTTAGAAAAGGTAGTGGAATGAAAGAAGACTTCTCAGAGGAAATAACTAATAACAGATTATTCTGGACTTTTAAAGAATGAGTACAATTCTACCAGAGGAAGAAAAACTTTGCAAAGCTAACATGGATGGGGTGGTAGGCTGATATACAGGGGGCTTCAAAAAGTTAAATGAAGGTTTTTTCCCTGAAAAATTTTGAATTCCCATAATATTCAAGCTGACTGGACACTCAAAGACGCCATGCCCTTAATCCCTAACAGCTATACATACCTTACGCTACATGGCAAAAAGGGCTTTTTACACAATAACTAAGTTTTTGGACCTTAAAATAAGCTTATTCATTAATAGTCAAGATGGCCCAGTCTAATAACGAGTACTTAAAAACAAATTTTTTTCCATCTGTGATTAGAAAATTGATATTGATAAGTGCTGTGAGTCAGTTCCAACTCACAGTGACCTTGCATGGACTTTCCAGGATTGTCTGGATGGTTCGAACTCTTGACCTTGCAGCTGGCAGTCCAGTGCTTATCCTATAGGGCCATACTAGGATCCATGAGACAGATACAGCAAAAATCAGACTTGAAGCAAGTTAGGGGACAATAAGGAGAGCATGAGAAGGGATCTAGGCAGGCAGCCTATAGAACAAAGATTTGCCCTAGCTGACAGCCAACAAGGAAACAGAGATCTGAGTCCTACAACCATAAGGGATTGAATTTGACCAGAAACCTGAGTGAGCCTGGGAGCAGATTCTTCTCCAGTCTCTGGGAAGGAACACAGCCCAGCTGATAGTTTAATTTCAGCATTACGAGACCCAAAGCAGGAGAAACCACTAAGCCAACTAATACTTTTGACCTACAGAAACTATTTGAAATGATAAATTTGTCAGGGTAGCAAGAAAACTAACACACATGAAGTTTCAAGAATAAGTATATTTCAAAATAGGGCAAAGAATGGAAGAGAGGCTAGGATAAAGCTGGTATGGCAGGCAGTTTTCACATAATGCAAAGTCAACAACAAAAGCACTGAAACTTTTGTTCTTTTTTTAAGTGGGAGAGATGACAAATACTAGGAATGTTGTCAACTGAAGAAGAAAGGGAGGCTAAATTAATTAGGAGGACCATATTAGTTAGGCATTTACAGCTGTTTCAATGGTGTCAGGGTCCTCTGACCTCTTTTAGCTTCAGAAGGGGGAGAAAAGTCAAGACCAACAGCCCAAGGTGGAGTCCTATGAAGCGGAGGTCAGACATATCTCCTCTCTCCGTACTTTTTTAAAAAAACAAAAAAACAATTATGACACCAACTATCTTTCTCACAAGCACTCTCTAATTCTCTGCTAGATTTGATAATTTATTGCAATTACCACAGAGAACTTACACACAATACTCATGGATTATGGGATTTATTAGAGAAATAACAGATCAAGAACGACTCAGGATATCATTTTTCAGTTAGGGCAGCTTCTCAGCAATGCCCACAGGCAGTTGCTAGTTTTCTTAGGCCAGTCTCTGTCCTGCTTAGGAAAGTATTGCAAAATTCTTTCAATCAGTTATTAAGAGGCCAGAGGAGCCCCACTCTGCAGCAAGCCCCCTGCCTAACCATGTTCAGTTCTCTTGCTCCATGAGTCAGGAAGCCCACCATGTCATCTCCTGTTGGTCTTAGTTCTGTTGCCTCAGCTGATGTTGGCTCTCTGCCTCTGCTGATCGCCATCTCTTGTATTACAGCATTCTATCAGGTGTAGGTTTTCAGTGAACAGACCTCAGGTCCAAACAATGATAGGGTTGTTGTTGTTAAATGCTGTGAAGTTGATTTTGACTTACAGTGACCCTATATAGGGAGGGTTTCCAAGGAGCGACTCATTGGTGGGTTTTAAGTACAAACCAACCTTGAGGTCGAGTTCTTATCCTACAGCATCACACCAGGACTCCATTCTAGTGACAGTGAAATTTCCTCTTCCTGACTCTGGGATGGGTTACTTAAAGCCCAGCGCATGGCAAAACTGACCAATCTCCTCATGAAGGCTCCATACACCATTTTTATACAGTTGCATCCAATCACTAAGGAGCTCTGGTAGTGTAGTGGTTACGAATCGGGCTGCTAACCTCAAGGTCGGCAGTTCGAAACTACCAGCTGTTCTGCGGGAGAAAGATGAGGCTTTCTGCTCCTGTAAAGATTCACAGCATCGGAAACCCTGTATAGGGTCGCTATGAGTCGGAACTGACTCCACGGCAATATAACAACAACAACAACAATCCAATCATTTGGTGATAATTACAAGACTACGGTGGGAAAGGCCATATAAAAGCAATCCATTGCACCACAATAACAATTATCCCCAAGACAATATTTATGCAATAGAATTACCTAGACAACAGATGATAAGAGCCTGAACCAAAGTAATGACAATGAAAAAAGAGACAGTCAATAGGTTCGGGGATATTTCACAAGTGGAAACACTAGTCTTTGGTTCCAGACTGACACCAGAGATGACAGAGCAATCACAAACTATTCAAGGCAACTTAGCACGGTGGGTGATAATGTTTACAGTCAAGAAAAGGAACAAAAGAAAAGCACTGCCATTTAAGAAGAAAAAAAATAGAAAACAGGAAAACATACTCTCTCCCTTTAATTTAAAAATAAACAGAAGGCACAATTAAGAAATTTTGAGCAGTGACTAAACAAAATAGTAGCTATTTTGTTAGCCTCTATTACCTCTACTGTTGCTTTCCGGATAGGCAAATGTAGGCTTATTTGGGGAGCGTCGCATATCACTATTAAGAAAAGGCTTATCAGGTGGATATACTACATATGGAGATGAAGAATGGTGAACCATATTTCCATTTGACCTTGATGGTTCGGTTAAGCTGTTCTGAAAAATAAAAACATAGAAATTACCTTACCAAATTGTAAGCCACAAACAGCAGGTATATGTATTCATGACCCAAAATTGACAGTTCATATACTACAATGACAGGGGCAATAGAAAAAAAAAATCCACTTACTACACATAGTAAAACATAACCATTACTTTTCTTTTAAAAAATAAGACATTAAAGAGTCTCATGTAAGTCTAAATGTAGCTAAATACTACAAAAAGAAAAAATATCCACAAAACTTCAATACAAGTGCTGTACAGACATACTTAAATAAGGTACTCACAACCAATTAAAAAATATGCATGGTGAAATGTACATTTGGAAAAGTAAACACAGTATTGTCTGTTTACAAGATTAGAAGCTGCTACAAATGACTGAACTAATTTATAGCAAACAACTGAATACTTCATGGATATTCATGAAATGTCTAAAACTTTGTAGGATACAGAAAGTCAGTAAGACATGGGTTTTGTCTCAAATAATTTACATTTCATTAAAAATATACAGGACATAAATACCTATCCACCATATATATAGGGAACTGGAGCCCTAGTTGAAGAGTTGTTGGAAGAAAACTTCCCTGACACCATGATGACAAAATATGCTTTCAAGAAGTTTAACAAACTCCAAACAGGATAGAGAAAACTACCAAGACATATTACAATCAAAATTTTCAAAACCAATGACAAGAAAAGAATGGTGCACAGCTGGGGGAAAAAAAACAAGTTACTTACAAGGGGAACTAATAATACTAAACTGATTTCTCATCAGAAACCATGCAGGCAAGATGAAATGGGATGACATATTCCCAGCAAAACTATCCATCAAATATGATGACGAAATTAGAATATTTGCAGATGAACAGAAATGAAAAACAATCATAAAAACCAGACCAACCATACAAAAACAATAATGGGAGTTTGTTGGTCAGTGAATCAGTAACAGTAGACAACAATCTGAGATTAACACACAAGGCAATATCACCCAGAACTCAACTCAGACACTATTGTTGTTACTGTTGTTAGGTGCTGTCCAGTCAGTTTCAACTCAGAGTCACCCTATGCACAACAGTACGAAACACTGCCTGGTCCTGCATGCCTTCCTCATAATTGTTATGCTTGAGCCCACTGATGCTGCCACTGGGCCAATGTAGCTCTCTGGGGGTCTTTCTCTGTTTCACTGACCCTCCACTTTATGAAGCATGATGCCCTTTTTTACTGCGACTGGTCCCTCCTGATAAATAACAGGTCTCAAGTATGAGAATCGCACTCTTTCCATCCTGACTTATTAAGAAGCACTTTGGCTATACTTCTTCAAACACAGATTTGCATGTTCTTCTGACAGTCTATCGTACTTTCAGTATTCTTCCCCAATATCATAACTCAAATGCATCAATTCTTCTAAGGTCTTATTCACTGTCCAATGTTCGCATGTATGTGAAGCTACTGAAAATACCAGGGCTTGGGTCAGGCGCACCTTAGTCCTCAAACTGGCATCTTTGCACTTGAATGCTTTAAAGAGGTCTTGTGCAGATTTATCATTATAATACATCTTCAGATTACTTGACTGCTGTTTCCATGAGTGTTGATTGTGAATTTAAACAAAATGAAGTCTTTGAAAACTGCAATCTTTTCTCCATTTATCATATTATTTATTAGTCCAATTGTGAGGATTTTTGTTTTCTTTACATTGAGGTACGACCCAGATATAGAAGTATTCAAAGTACAACAACCTACAAGAATGAAAATAGGGAACCTAAGATACAAGTTTGCAATAACAACAAAAAAGCATAAAGTAAATATAGAGATTTCAAGAAAAATAAACGAAACCTAATTATAACCCTAAAACTAGACCAAGGCTTACTCCTATCCCTAGCCTAAACCCTACCCCTAACACTAATCCTAGTCTTAAATGTAATCCCTACTCTCAAAAATAAAAATTTAAAAGCATTAATCATAAAAAGGAAGTTACTAAATTTCACTACATTAAAATTAAGAAAATTTATTAAAGGTTAACACCAAAATAACAAATGAACAAAACATCCCAAGCCATAAACAAGTATATTTACAATACCCTGAATCGACCAGAGATTAACATCCAGAATACTTAAAGAATGTCTATAAATCAATAAAACCTAACCCAAATAAAAAACATGTAAACAGCATCTCATGGGAAAACACACACAAATCAGCAAATGTACTGGGGTGGAAGGAATGCAACCTCAGTTATGATCAAGGATTCCATTTCAACAGCTCATTAGCAAAAATGTAAAACTGCAATAACACCATCTGTTAAAGAAGGTATAAAGAGCCATGATGGCAGAGCAGTTAGCTCAACAGCAGAAAGACCTGGTGATCTGCTTCTGTAAAGATGACAGCCAAGAACACCCTACTCAGTTACTATGGAAATCAACTCCCAAAACAAAGAGGATACAGAATAAAAGAAACTGCTGGTGGGTATGTAAACTGATGCAATCTCTTTGAAAAACAATTTAGCTACCAAATACAACTATAAATGCAGGAGGCAACAGAACACAAATTAGATAACTGGGACTGCATAAAAACTAAGTACCTATTTTCATTAAGATTTTTTGAATAAAAACCTACAGATGGTGTGAAAAATTGTAAACAACATATGTGATAAGGAACTAATCTCTAAAATTCATGGAAAACTTCAACGATTCAACAGCGACCTTAAACAATTCAACAGCGACCTTAAACAATTCAACAACAAAAAGACAAAAATTCCATTTTAAAATGGGCAAAGGACATAAAAAGACACCAAAGAGGGCATTTAAGAAGTCAACCAAAACATGAAAAGAGGCTCTATGTTATTTACCATTGTTGTTGTTAAGTGCTGTGGAGTCGACCCATAGGGACCCTGTACAGGGTTTCCGAGGCTGTAAATCTTTACGGGAGCAGAAAGCCTCATCTTTCTCCCGTGGAGCAACTGATAGTTTCAAACTGCTGACCTTAAGGTTCATAGACCAATTCGTCACCACTACGCTACCCAAGATGCAAATCAGAACTACAATAAGACACCATATCTCACTCCCACAAAAATGAAGCATCCAAAACAAAATAAAACAAAAAAACCCACCAGAAAAGAACAAATGCTGGTGAGATTGTGGAAAGATTGGAAACTTTGTCTACTTCTAGTGAGAGTGTAAATGATATAATCACTACGGACTGGTTCTTTCTCAAAAAGTTAAAAATAGAAGAGCTATTTTATGACTCAGAAATTCCACTCCTAGATGAATACATACTGAATGCTGCAAAGTTGGTTTGAACCCGAAGGTCAGTGGTTTAAGCTCACCAGCTGCTCCTCAGAAGCCCTATACAGTCATTATGGGTCAGAACTGACTGGACAGCACTTAACAACAACAGGTATATATACTGGTGGTGGTGTCCTGTTAAGTTGGTTCTGGCTCACAGCAACCCTGTATAGTGTTTCTGAGGCTGTAAATCTTTATAGAACAGGAAGCCTTATCTTTCTCCCTAAAAGCAACTGGTGGATTAGAACTACTGACATTGCGGTTAGCACCCAATGTATAATCCTTATGCTACCAGGGCTAGAAATATATTCATGGCAGCATTATTCACAATAGCAAAAAAAAAAACTTAAGTGCTCATCAACAGAGGAATGGATGGATAAAAAGGGTATTTGCAGAGGTGTCGAGAAATTCATGAAAAAAATCCCAGTATCTTTTAATTTCCCACAAACTTTTTCAAGCACCATTGTACATTCAATAAAATACTACACAGCTATAAAGAATAATGGTGAGTTCATGAAACAACAGGGAGTAGAGCAAAAGAGAAAGAAAGGAAACTAAAGACTCAAAGAAGAAATTAGTCTACTGAGACCAGAAGAACTAGATGGTGCCTGACTTCCAGTACTGATAGTTCTGAGGATAGACACAACAGATGGCCATAGATAGGATGGGAGAAAATTATAGAACTCAACTAAAATTCTTGGGGGGGGGGGGGGGGAAGCTAGATATACTGGACTGGTGGTGGTGGTAGTGTGCCGAGGATTTGTTTCTGACTGTAAATCTTTACAAGAGCAGAAAGCCTCATCTTTCTCCCATGGTAGTTTTGAACTGCTGACTTTGAGTCCAATTCATAACCATTATGCCACCAGTTCCTTAGAGACCAGACAATTATTGCCCTGAAGTACCCTTAAAACTCTGAAATGAAACAACTCCCAGAGGTCACTTTTCAGCAAAGAATCTATATGAGATAGATCAAATAGTCAACATTTACCCACAAGCAAAGATGAGAAGGTTGAGGTGCAGGAAAGGGAGATGGGGAAGCTAAATTAGTGGAAACAGAACAGAACAAAATTAATAAGAATATGACAATGTGGAAAATGTAGTCAGTGTTACTCAACTTGTTCATTATGAACCTAATTAGTTGTGTAAATAACTCACCAAAATCAAAATATTAAAAACATAAAAAAGGCAAAACAACTTTTCATTACCAAGTAAAACTGAAAGCACATACTCTGTTGTTAGGTGCCATCGAGTGGCACAGACTCACAGTGACCTTATTATGCACAACAGAACACAGCCCAATCTCACAATCGCTGCTACGCTTGAGCCCACTGTTACCACCACGGTGCCAATCCAACTCATTTGGAGTCTTCCTCTTTTACTGACCCTCCACTTCACCAAGCATGATGTACTTCTCCAGTGACTGGTCACTCCTGATAACATCTGAAGTATGAGAGATGAAGTTTGGCCATTTTGGCTTCTAAAGAGCATTCTATTCTGGCTGTATTTCTTCCAACACAGGCACATACTCTATGACCCAGTAATTTCACTCAAACATATATTCATTGAACTTGTCTTCTCTTTCCTTCTCCTTTTTACATAGTAAAATCATACAGCCCGAGCTACTACATATATTCCACAATGAACTACTGGAGCTCAGTCCAATTTCTAGTTTCAAGTCACTGCTCTAGAACTATTCTCTCAAATTTTTGATCTCAGGACCACTTTATAGACTTAAAAATTACTGAAGGCACTAAAGGTTTACATCTTGACATTTACCATATTAAAGTTAAAGCTGAGAACTTTTGAGATATTTAATAATAAATTCAAAAATAATAAAGCCATGATACATTAACATCAATATTATATTTATTGCTGTTAAGTGCATTAAGTCGGTTTCAACTCACAGCAATCCAATACAGGATTTCCAAGAAGTGACTGGTGGGTTTGATCCGCCAAACTTGTGGTTAGCAGTCCAATGCTTGTCATACAGCATCACCAGAATTCCTGTATTAATGGTTAGTCTTACAACCTTTTGAAGCTAGCACTAGTACTTTCATGGTTGATATGCAAGAAGAAAACTTTGTAACCCAGATAAGAAAAGACCAGGTGTCCCCCTGAAAGGGTCTTATGAATCCCAAGATCCTTGGACTTTAGAACTGCTATTCTACAGAAGTTTGCTTATGACACATTATTTACATACAAAGATAACAGTAACATTGTTTTTAATAATTAGCAAACAAAATCCATAAAGATACTATCTTATACAAAAGTATAAATAAGTTACATGACAAAGAACACATGATGATCCTCAAAAACTTAATGTAGAAAGAAAAAGTACACCACAAAAGAATGTAAACAGTATGACTCATCTTATATTAACAAAACAAAACAAAACAAAAGGCAGGAACACATCTACATGTGGAAATAATAGAAAAAAGGCATGGTTACAAGTGGGGACCCATAGCCAAACTGAGTTCAAATGTACGCTCTGCCATTTACTAGTGTAAACTTGGCTTAACCTTATTGCTCAACCAAAGTATGAAAATAATAATGCCAACTTTCAAAGAGGTTATTGTGAGAATTAAGTGCGTTAACATGCGAAAAAGGCTTAAAGTAACAGCTGGCACTGTAGGATAAGCACTGGGCTGCTTAACTGCAAGGTTAGCACTTCAAAACCAATAGCTACTCTGTGGGAAAAAGATGAGGCTTCCTTCTCCCATAAAGATTTATCAGAAAACCCCATACAGGGTCTCTATAAGTTGGAATCTACTTGGGTGGCAGTGGGATTTGGTTATACAGAACTATAAGCGCCATTGAGTCCATTCTGATTCACTACAACCTGGCATAGTATTTCCAAGGAGCGGCTTGTGGGTTTGAACCGACATCCTTGTGGCTAGCAGCCCAATGCTTAACCTACAGTGCCATACCAGGACTCCATGTGAGTACTAATACTAACACAATAATATTTAAATTTATGGTAATTATTGTGTGTGAGAGAAAGAACCAAGAAAATGCAAAAAAAAAAACAAAACAAAAAAAAAACCACATAAAGGTATCCATTTTATTAAATTTTGCAACAAATCATATACAGGTAACTTATAAAATCTAAAATATATTCATTTTTTTTAAGGTTAAGGAAAATTAACATGAAGTTGGAGTTCTGCTGTGGCATTGTGGGTTAATGCGCTAGACTGCAAAGTTGCTCTGAACAGCAAGGCTGTTTGGCTCAAGCTCACCAGCTGGTCCTCAGAAACCCTACACAGGTCAGAACCAACTAGACGGCACAGGACAGATGTGACGGCACTTAACAACAACAATATGAAGTTCACGTGAAGGCTGTTAAAGAGCTTGGGTAAAGTCAGGAAAATAAAAAGTAAGACAGGCTTATTAATTCAAATATAAAGTGACATAAGGATGGTGACTGTGGTAACTGGGAAAATAAAAAAAAAAGACCAACATCAATCTATCACCCACTTCACTGCTGATCACATTTGAGGTTTACAAGGTAGCTGCTTTATAAACATTGCATTATTATCTGTGAATCTACCTGTTAGTAATCATTGACTGGTCAAAGCATCTCCATTTAATATAACTAGATCCATGCTGTTCAGTGAACAACAGAATGAAACACTGCCTGGTCTTGCGCCATTCTCACAATTATTGTTTGAGCCCACTATGGCTGCCACTTTTCAATCCGTCTTGTTTGGGGGGAAGGGGTCTGCCTCTTTTTCACTAACCCTCCACTTTTCCAAGCATGATGTCCTTCTCCCAGAACTGGTCCCTCCTGATAATATGTCCAAAATACTAGAGACAAAGTCTCACCATCTTCGATTATAAGAAGCATTATGGCTGTGTGTTGTGGCATGTTGTTAAGTGCTATTGAGTCAGTTCCAGCTGGGGTTCCAACTGTACAGGGTTTACAAGGGCAGCTGTTGCGTTTGAAACACTGACCTTGTTGAGTGCTTATTCCACAAAGCCACACTAGATTGCCACAGAAATCTGAAACTAAGGAAAAGTGAGACTTTCCCAATGTGACTCTGGTCTTAGCATCCTTAAACTTTCTTCCCTAGCTTCTACAACATATTATTTTATCCTGGAAACTCCTCAATCTATGCCCCTCCCCATCCCATTTCTAGTTCAGATTCCATACAAGGTCATACTTTTGTCTATTTACAATTCATCTCACCCAACAAGGCCACCACACTATCTTTCTTCATTCCAAATTATTTCAAGTTTACTGAAAGCATTAATTTTGTCATATGCTTGAGATGACTTCTTTCTTTCCTGTCTTGCAGCAAGTGCTTACAATCTTTTTATGCAGTTCATTTTCTTCTCTAGGAAACCTTTCCTCATCTACCCAAGCACTCCTAATCTACTTTTTGCTTTTGCCTTGATCATTTTAATATGGTGGTGGCGGTGTGCTGTGGTGTTGATTCCGACTCATAGGGACCCTGTATAGGGTTTCTGAGGCTGTAAATCTTTACGGAAGCAGAAAGCCTCATTTTTCTCCCGCGAAATGGCTGGTAGTTTTGAGCTGCTGACCTTGAGGTTAGTAGCTCGACTTGTTATCACTACGCTACAAGAGCACTTTTCAAATTGTATTGTGTAATATTTAGCTAATTTTTGTTGTGTGCGGACTTACACCGGTTTCCAAGAGAGGCTGGAGGGTTTGAACTGCTGATTTGCGGTTACCTGTCCAGTGTTTATCCTACAGTATCACGCCAGAGCTCACTTGTTTAAATATGCATTGTTTATCTTCATTGCATTACTCCTAGAGAGAAGGGGTTGGTTCATCTGTGTAATCTTAGAGCATAATATCTTAGGCTAGGCATCCAGCATTTGCTTAATGCACAGATAATGGCCCCAACCTGATCCTCCTCACCTTTGCTTCCTAGCTTTCCCAATGCACCGGCCCCCCAAACACTAAGCGTTCTTTAACAATTCGACAAATGTTAGTTAATGAAATAGTAGCACTTGTTTAAACAAACAAACAAAAAATACTTAAGTGCAGCTTCCCCAGCTGCCAGTCTCTCCATCGCTGTACAAAATAAAAAGTGCACGAAAGTATCTACAACAGAAAAGCACGCAACAAACGACGTTTACACGTTGCGACCTAGTAATACGAAGCTAGCTGGGAAGTGCGTGCCAACAGCTACCAGGGTCATAAAACAAAGCTACCAGGAGGATGGAAGAAGAGTCTCACGACGCAGGCAATGGAATGCACTTGAGAAACTATGGGCTGGTCGGATCTTGCAGAGCTGAGTAGTAACCAGGCAGGCAAGCCTATGTGGTCTCGGCGACTTTCCAAGAGGGGCCGTTACACCCACGTGACCAATGCTGTCGCAAGCCCGCGAGTTGGGTACAGTTGTCCGAGTCCCAGCAACACTCGGTAATCTCGGCTGCTAGGCTGAAGGGGGAAAGGATGGACACTAGTCAAACTTGTTTCCCGGGAAAGCTAAGGGTGCAAGCCTCGACAGTGGATCAATGGAAGCTGGGGTATGTTAGCACCCGCCGCTGTCCCCTACGATGGGGTGAGAGGCTGGGCAGTGAGCACCCTGAAACGTGAGGAAAAACGACCTGGAGCCCATTCGAAAGACAACTGCTTCTTACCGACAAATGAGAACAAGAAGTTGCAGGGATCGACGCCGCAGCCGCCGTCGCCATCTTTCAGCCTGCCCCGCAGGCCACTACAACTCCGGGGCGGTCGGGATTCTAGAGATCTTCCTCAAGATTCAAGAGTCGCCCACCGGGGGCGACCCCGAGCCGAGCCCCTGATGGAAGGGGCGGGAGTACTGGTGTAGGGTACTGAAACCCCTACTACACACACCCACAAGGACACTTACGCTCAAAGCGCACGCCGAAAGGACAACACCGTCCTGACGGACGTCTAAAGTAGCCAATCAAGAAAGCGGACGCCTTCCTATAGAAAAGAATCCGCCTCTTCCCTCGGTGACGTCACAAGGTAGTGTGTAATTGAGTGACGGGGAACCAGTAACATTGCGGGCTAATAGGCTCCGAGCTTTTACAAAGGATCGGGATTGGTCTAAGAGAAAATGTTAGCGAGGAGTTATCTCCAGTAGCAATTAAATTCAGCGATTTAAATAAACAGGAATGTGAGGTACAAACACTTCTATCAGTTCCTTTGGGTTAAATGCCCGAGAGAGTGTAAATTTGATTTAGGGATGGGTCTCCAGGTGACATGCTTCCTGGCTAATCAGATTAGGAGGGACTTAATGGTTTGGTCCAATAGAAGTCAAGGGAAAGAAAGACAAGCGAGGAAATCTTTCCGTGAACCTTTGCCCAATTAGATTGTGGCGCTCTCACCCAAGTCTAGGACTGGCTGCTAGGAATAGTTGCGACTCGGGCCTTTGGGCGGAGCTGGTTTAAAGCCAATTTCGCGCGCCTAGAGCGTCGAGCTGTTATTGGCCAACGACTTCCTCCCTTTGTGGGAGCTCCTTGCGTAGCTCAGGCTATCGGTTGGGAGGAGCGACCGAGTGACGCAATAGTTTCTGCGACCAATCGGGGGCGGGGACGGGAGGCCAGGAAGGAAGCGGATCTGCCGCCGCACAGCGAAATTGCATCGAACTATCCGTTTCGTCTCCCTCCGCCGCTATCGGTGCCTAAGCAGAAGTAGCTGGACGGTGTCTCTGGGTGGGCTTGGGCGGAAGTGCAGGCGGAGGGAGACGACGGCGTCGTACGCAAGATTTGGACTCTCGCGGCGAGGCCCTGGTGGGCGCGAGGCAGGGGGAGGGGGAGGAGGAGGAGGGGCCTGCGGCCCAGGCGGCGGCGGCAGCGGCGGCACCTGAGTCCTCCGTAGGACTCCGCCTCGGAGCGGGCGGCGTCGAAGGAGGAGATTGAGGAGCAGGATGGCGGCCTCGGCCCTGTATGCCTGCACCAAGTGTACTCAGCGCTATCCCTTCGAGGAGCTCTCCCAGGGGCAGCAGCTCTGCAAGGTCCGTGAGCGCTGGGCGGCGGGCGGGCGGGGTTTCCTCGGCCTTAGCCCGTGAGGGCTGGGTGCTGGCTGCACTGCAGCTTCACTCTTTGCCGGCCCTTAAGGGATTTTGGGGTGTGAAGCCCTCGCTTCCCAACCGGGAATCCCTTTATCCAAGGGCCTGGGCATCAACTGGAGAAGATCCTTAAGAGGGGATACAGAATCTTGCCTTCTACGGAGCAGCCCAGGACGGGGCCGACTCCAACAGCGTCCCGGGGTTTCGGATGAGCCTGAGTGCAGCAGCCACCTGTCTATGCCGCAGAGACCCTGGGGTGGAGATGTTTTCATCTCGATTTTTTACCTGATTTGTCCTCTCCTTCCACCAGGAGGCAGGGGACGGTTTTTGCACTTTCTTGCTAGGAATCCGAAGCCGCAAAGCTGATGGCATCTTTCTTCCCTGAGCAGGAAAGCGAAGCGACTGGCTTGGGAACAGAATGCTCTATGATTTGGAGCACCTTCCATCCCATAAAAGCCGGGATGCTGTCTGTGAGCAACGGTGCAAAATAACAAGTAGTTTCACCTTTAACCAATCGTTGAAATCTGCCCTGACAGCCTTATTAATTAATTTGTAGCATAACCCCACAACTAATAAAGACAAAGACATCTATGCCTTCCATAAGAAATTAAATTGTAATTGGCCACTTATATGATAAATCACTCAATTGTCTACCTTAGGAAACAGGTTTTATTGATGTCTTAGACGTCTAATTAGGCAATGTAATCATTTTTCTACCAGAAAAGTGGTATTTGGGACTTTAAGATACTGACTAATGTATTGTTTCATTACAGGAATGTCGGATTGCGCATCCTATTGTAAAATGTACTTACTGCAGATCAGAATTTCAACAAGAGAGGTTTGTATACTTGAACAGTTTTTGATAAAGACAAAGTATTGTCCTTTAGGAATGCTTAGGGTGGATAATCTCTTAATTGTAATACATTTTTTACAGAACGCTTAGCTTCCTAAATTAGAGTTGTCAACCTTTTACAAGGTAGACTTCTGGGATAATATTGACAAAAACAATGGTTGTTATGTTACAACTAGACTTCAATTTGTACTTGAGGAAATAAAGACTAGATTATTGTATAGAAAATAATAGTCTTGCTAACAAGAAATGCAGACTTAAGCAATTACTATTAATCTACGTAAGCAGCTTTTAACATAGCTAAATGATTACAAGTCAAGGTCAACAGTTCGAAACTACACGTGGTTCTGTGGGAGAAAGGTGAGGCTTTCTGCTTCTGTAAACATTTATAGCCTTGGAAATCCTGTACAGGGTCGCTTTGAGTTGGAACCAACTCCATGGCACATAACCGCCACTACCACCATTAATCCATATAGATATAAAAAGAATTGGTAAAGCCTTACACTGACATGGACCTGAGGAAAGGTCTATAGTGTTGCTGATTACCTTCCAGAAATGAAATCTAGTAACTTGTTACCCAGGGAAGCACAGGTTTTCACAGGATGAGTACCTTTAAGAGCAGACACAAGAAAGTAGCCGAAAAGACAAAAAATAAATAACTGCAGTAGTAGCTATGGACAGTCATAATGGGGGAGAGTGTTCTTGTGGAAAGTTAAGTAGGTGCTAATATGGAGTCCTGGTGTGGTGCTGTGGGCTAATGTGTCAGAATGCAAAGTCGTTTGAACTGCAAGGTCGGTGGTTCAAGCTCACCAGCTGCTCCTTGGAAACCTTATACAGGGTCGCTTTGGGCCGGAATCTACTTGAAGGCACTTAACAACAACAACAATGTGGAAAGCTATGCTGTGTGAAGATTTCGGAAATAGGAATCATGGAGGTTTTTGCTTTGTTTCTATTATAAGAAGTATACATTAAAAGTACAAATATCTGAAATTAGTAGTTGGAAGAGAAATAAATTTGAGTAATACAACCCTAAATTATTTCTTTGTAGTTAAAGAGTTCTTTATTTTTATTAGAGTAAATAATTATATTGTTCTGTGCCACTGTGGAGTCAATTCTGACTCCTAGAGACCCTGTACAGGGTTTCCGAGACTGTAAATCTTTACGGGAGCAGAAAGCCTCATCTTTCTCCCGTGGAACAGCTGGTAGTTTCAAACTGCTGACCCTGAGCCCCGAGGTTAGCAGTCCGATTTGTAACCACTACGCTACCACTGTCAATTTTGACTCTTCCCTTTGTTTTAGCTCATCATTGTGCTAAACTATTTGAGAAAGCTACTCAAATTTGATCATTTATATACCTTTTCCTTTTTAGCAAAACCCACACAATTTGTAAGAAGTGTGCTCAAAATGTGAAGCAGTTTGGCACAGTAAGTATGTTTTATGTTTTATATTAGTCAACGTGTTCTTCCTAAAGATACCTTTTTAAAATATATGTGTTGCTATGTTCTTAAATATTTCAATAGGTCAAAAAATTTTATGAAATAACATTTTCTGTCAACAGTGATAAGGAGGTTACAAGAATTTAAAAGCAATATAATTATGTGCATATTTTATGTATATTGAATTTCATTGTGAAAGTTATGAAGTCATTCTTCAAGAGTCAAATACAGCAAATTCCTGACTATGGAAAACCTTAATTATCCATAAAGTTTGCACAATCAGACTTTTCCTCCTCTTCAGAACTTCAAACTATTTCTAGATAATTGCGCAACTTAAGTGTTAATTCACAAACATCTCGACATTATCCTAGTACAAATTCTCTCATTTGCTTACATGGAAATTTCACTGATTATTGGTCAGAGTTCTGCTTTGTTGTTAAGTGCCATTGTGTCGTTCCAACTCATAACAACCCTGTATAGGGTTTTTGAGGAGCAGCTGATGAATTTGAACTGCCAACTTTGTGATTGAAACTGACTTTGCAGTCCAGGCTTATCCTATAACACCACACTAAGAGTCTATAAAATCCTAGGTTGTCTCAGATTTCAAAGAAAATCAAGCTATTTTAGTGTGTGCTGGGTATGTTTATATGTAGTTTTGGTACATTGATAATTCACCTTTAGTATCTTGTTTATAGTGAAAAGTTAATAAATACTTTCTTAAATTACTAGTATGATAATTAAGTTCACCAGCATACATGACATTTTTTCATGCATGAGTGCCTTTAAAGATTGCCATTCCTTGTAATGTTTTTGTGTGTAACTTTTATGTAGGTATGCACATCGTAAGTATAGTTCTCATGATTCTGTTGAAATATTCCAATAGTTGTAACACTGCAATACATGACTGTAGAGATACATATTAGTTGAATTAATAAAACATGATAAATACTATTGAATAGAACATGATAAATACTATTGAGTAAGTAAGAACAAACTTGGCAGTTAAAGCAAAGTAATATATTAATGTAATTATCTGTGAAATTTACCTATAACACTGGGCATATGTAGCAAACGTCTCGTTTTTTAAATGTCTCAAAGAAAATGCATATTTGTTTTTCAGCCCAAACCTTGTCAGTACTGTAACATAATTGCAGCATTTATTGGCACCAAGTGTCAGCGTTGCACAAATTCAGAAAAAAAATATGGACCACCTCAGACTTGTGAACAGTGCAAACAACAATGTGCTTTTGATCGGAAGGAAGAAGGAAGAAGAAAGGTATTTTTTATTTATAATATGACATGTTCTGGGAATTAAAATAGCAAACAAGTTATTATTAAAATACTGCTGAGACATGATCTGTTTGGATCTTT